TATATATAGTTAAATATATTCACAAATAGTTTACTATTATGCATTTTCAATGTATGAAACTTATAATTCATTATATCAAATAAATATTTAATTATATTAAAATAAATTTCACTATTTTTATTTAAATAGAGAAATAGTTCACTATTTATGTGAAATAGTTCGCTATTTATTTCAATGAGATATAGTTCACTATATATTTTATATATTCAAACTTTTCAACAATAATCAGTTACAAAAAAAAACGAAAAATATAGAAAAAGAAGACGAAAAAGAAATGTGTTTTTATATTTGTCAACTTTATGTTTATTTTTAGAAAAACTATTATTTTGTTAATTAAGAGAGAATTTTGCATTAAATGTCCATTAAGATGACAACTTTAATTAAATTTATTGTAAGAGTAAATTAGTCAAAATTAATTTTTTTTTGCTAGTTACTAAATTAACAAATTACACATGTTAGTTTATTAATTTATATGTTCAAACATGATATTGAACTAATTAACCCTTAAATATTTGTGATGAACTTTATATACATCGGATGACGATACAAAAATGTATTTTTGTTTATTTCAAAAAAAAAAATGTATTTTTTGTTGTTGTTAAAGATACAAAAACGTATTTTGAAGCCAACTAAAGTAAGTAAAGATTTGTGTTAATGAGAAAACAAACAGAAACGTAACTAATTAAAATACAACTATAATAGACGTTTAAGAAAATACAATTAATAAGTTAATAACACAGTCGACTACTCTCTATATATATGGGCATACAAATTTTAAATTAGAAGTAGTAAAAAGGTGAAAAACAATAGAAAAAGATGAAGACTGATTTTCTTGTAATAACCACATTGGTATTGTTTGCTTATCCAAGTTTGGCTTCAAAAGTTGAAGATGATATCAAACCGTTGATCGATGCTAATGTTGATTTAGACTCGATGTTTGCGAAATCGCCGAGTGCGAGTCAATACAATTCGGGCTTGTTTCTCAAAGAGTCACGAGATCATATGAAATATGTCGCGAGATGCGCTGAGTCCATGGGGGGTTCTAAATGTGAAGACGAAGTCTTATCTGAGATCCTTCAAAACAAACCTGCTTCGAAACGTTGTTGTATCCAAATGTTGGTATTTGGCAAAGAATGTCACACGGAGGTGAACAGGGTACTTCTTGCGACTTATTATCTCAAACCATTTGCTTCTAAAGCTCGTCTCAGGATTCCCAAAGTTTGGAACAGATGTTGTTCTTCGATTGGAGTTTGCGATGAGCTCTATTGATTTGAAATATTAATGATAAAAAAGGCTTGCACTAATTCTACTTTTTTCTAACAATTATAAAATCATGATTTAACTCATTCAATTAGTCCTAAACATTGACATAAACGTTCAGATCTAAACACTTGGAAAAAATTAAACCTTAAATAATAATGTAAACTGACGTAAAAAAAAAAGAAGAAACTAATAATAACGTAAATTAAGGTATGAATTACTCTTTCAGATCAACTTATAAAGCTTATTAAACAATTTCTTATACAATAAACAAAATACATGGTGGTATTTTTTTCTGACAAATTAAATAAAGCTTATTCCCAAGAAAACAATCACATTCAACATAAAAAAAAACGCAATAGAAGCAAACCATAATCAAACTCAAAGAAGAGATATTTTCATTTTTAAAAAATAATCTCTTAGTTAGGAACGCGACACGTCTTACGAATCTCTCCGGCCCGACCCGTAAGAACTCCGATCCGACCCATTTTCACCATAGAGACACCAAAGTCATGAAAGAACGTTGATCCATGAGGTCTTGCCAGCTTCAAGACATGAGCCCTAGTCTTGGAGTTGTCCAAAAGAGCAGCATCCGATTGGAAAAGCCCTCTTCTCTTAGCCACTAGAGCGAAGTAGCTCACGTCAAATGTTTTGAAACTTCCTGGATCCATCTCTAGAGCGGTCGTGGTATCGGTCGGCTTGCACTTCAACTTGAGCTTAGCGGCATACTCGGAGTCCAAACTCGGGTCGCTATCTCCTTTTCCGGTGAAGTTGTAAAGCCGGTTTGACATTAGAGGACAGTGTCCAATTCCAATAGTGTGTCCACCTTTAAAAAAAAAAATTTTTATATCAATTCACTACCAACAAAAATTTCTTATAATTCATTCTTGAATCGAAATTTAGACTAATATATCATTCACTAGTATACGTACCTGAAAGAACGACTAGATCTTTCTCGTCAAGGCCTAGAGTGCCGAAATCGGTGATAAGCTTGGTGATGTTATCAAAAGGTGATGGCAAGTTGACTTCACTGATATTAGTAACCCTACCGTCTCTTCTTCCGGTTTCAACTTCCCACGATGGTCCTTCAAGCTAAAGATCAACATATATAAATAGTGAATTCAAAGAACTATATATATAAGTATTAGTTTTGGATTATGTGAAGATTACTTACCGCAACCATTGCGTCCCTAGCGATAAGGGCCAAGACATCAGAACAAGAAACAATCCCTGGACACACTTTTTCTAGAGCCGCTTTGGAATCGTCAATGATTCCAAACCCTCGAAGGCTTAGGTTAGGAACTGCATTCTTCTCATCTTGCTTGTTCTTTAGCTCTAACAAAACTGATCCGTCACATCCCTGTTGTACACGATTAAAACATTAGACAATATCACTTTACTAGGATTTTTTTCACACTTTTAAGAAAACGTGACTTAATGAAGAATTATATAGAAGTCATGAGTCACTTCAATGATTAAAAAAACATACCCGAACGAAGCAGTCGTGGAAGAACATCCTAAGCAAAGGAGCACCAAGCGTAGGCGCTTTCTTCATTGCGGCGAACACGACCTTTCTAACAATACCTTCGGCTTTTGGGCATGTTTTGCCGTAGAAACCTACTTTCAAGCCTTGTGCGTTGACTTGAACTAACAACAACGCTAAGAACAAGCAAGAGACAACTAGTAGCTTAGAAGCAGTCATTTTTTAATTTCTCTTTAGCTTTTGTTTTTTGTTCGATTGATGATGAATTGTGTATGAAGATTGAAGTTATTTATAATCAGTTATGTAAGTAGTTTAAACTGAAATTGGGATATTAATTATAAGAGTTTGTGGTTAGAACATTGAAATATATTAACATCAAAATGCAGTTGACTATCATCGGTCTGCGGTGGAATGCTTGTTGTATTTTTGTTGTTCTTATAATCAATCATTGTTCAGAAATATAAAGAAGGCAAATTGGTAAAAGTCGT